ACAATGACGAGTCCTTCCTGAGCGGCATCCTCTGATTCCTCTCCCCCGCGACTCACGACACCATCTGCTTTCATCATCGCAATCTTCCGCTACTTCACAGCAGCCCAATTCCTAGCCTTCCCCTTATTAATCTCTGTCAAAAAACCCCATTGGTAATTCATAGAGAGATTTCCATGGCCCCAGGCCCTTATTAGGACCATTTGGTTCATAAGACGCACTCTGCGAAAGGCGAATCCTGTCCATTGTTGCGGCCCGAACTCGATCCCGCCATTCTGCCGTCAGTTTTTTATTATACACGTCGTAGAGTCCCGGCAAAAGAGCGACATCCCCAGCGCAGTACTCCAAGATTCCGTCCCGAAAAGGACGTTCATTGAAAACCTCGTATCGACCTCCCTTTTTCGGGTCAAACAAATAGGTAGTCGATTTCTTGAGTTGATCCCATTTAATCTTCTCTGCCTTGGAGATAGGACTGTCGTTCTCTATACATTTCGCGAGACCGGCCACATGTCTTCGATTTTTTCCCCTGGCTGCAAGCTCCATCAGCTGCAGGTCCTGTACGCCTTGGAGGGAAACCTGAAAATGATGGAACAAGGCGTCGGAGTCATTTCGAACATCAAAGATGACCTTTTTGATGTTTGCGGATTCAAGAATAGCTTTCAGCGTCGTGCCAGTGGTATTTGCAGTAGTAAAGGCAGACTTTCCGAGCTTGTGGACGTCTACGATGTAGGCTGTTGCCAAAGTGGTAGCGTAGAGCGTGACGATGGATATGGTGCCATTGCGGCTTAGCTGGCAGCCTTCGAGATCCACGTAGAGAGTCGGTAGGTTTTTAATGGAGTCGATGAGGTTGACGAGTGTATCTCGACAGGAGGCCACTTGGATTATCGGCTTTAAGCAACTTGCAGGCATGATGACTTGTCGCGAGCGTCTCGGCAGTGTTACGTGTATGTATAAGCGACCGAGAATGGAGTGCCACTGCAGTGACACAGCACAGGATTGATTTGATCGTCGATCCGAATGCTCTGAAATGAGAATGACTAAAGAGGAACAAAGGAAGGACCACTTGTTGCGATTCAGTCATGCTTCTTTTATAGATGTTCTCTCCCTCTCTCCTTCACTGCCGTTGCGTGCGATTGTTCCGCGGGTTCAGTTCTCACGTTTGCTCAAAGTCTCGGCCGGCATTCTGTCGCTCCGTTGGGCTCGTGCGACGTGATTGCCTTGGTCTATCTGGATTTGTCTCTTTTCAAGCTGTGAATGTGCCGGCCTCTATCCGTGAGGCGTTTGACGCCCCCGCAACTGCGGGCGGCAATCTACAGTCAAACTCACAAACGCGAGGACTCAGTAGAAATCGAGAAACGAAAATAGACGGTCCGAGCCGCGCTTGTTGAGGGGGCCGCCAAGAACTGTCCTTGAACAGCTCGCTCGCACAAGCCTCAGCCGTCATAGCCTCCAGTTTGCTGAACCCTCTCATCTTTGATGGGGCAAATTACAGTAGAAGTCATTCATCTATGTTCACTACTAAGCAGCGCGAAACTTTCAGTCTTTCTGTTTAATAGTTTATCTGTGGGCTATGCCGAGTAAGCTCAGAATTTGTTATGTTTTATATCTTCACTTACGAAGTAATCCGTTTTGTGACGCCCGCGCATTCAGCCCGCGAAGCTCGATCCAGTCTCAACAAATTACACACTGTAGCTAAATAAAGAAAAAAAGCGAGCGGTTCCTCATTCTATTCTTCCACGCAGCAATGCAATCTTAGGCCGACTCTTGATGCCTATCCTTCACTCCTATCGCACTCACATGTATCGACCCAAGTCCTCATTATTTATTCGGACCTTGGCCCGTGTCAAAACCAAAAAAAAAAAAAAAAAAATTCATTTCAGAGAAAAGTTTACCACGGCCCGAGGGCGTTATCGCGATTGTTTGGTACGTAAGACGCACTCTGCGAAAGGCGAACCCTATCCACTGTTGCGGTCCGAACCCGTTCCCGCCATACTGCTGACAGCTTTCTCTCATATATGTTGTAGAGCCCTGGCAAAAGAACGACATCTCCAACGCAGTACTCCAAGATTCCCTCTCGAAAAGGGCGGTCACTGAAAACCTCAAACCGACCTCCCTTCTGTGGGTCAAACAAATCATTAGTCGACTTCTTGTGTTGTTCCCACTTCAACTTTTCAGAAGAAGAAATAGGACTGTCGTTTTTTATAGCGCGAGCCAGACCAGCCACAAGTCTCCGGTTCTTTCCCCTAGTTGCGAGCTCCATCAGCTGGAGATCCTGCACACCTTGAAGGGAAATCTGAAAATGATGAAACAGAGCGTCGGAGTCATTCCGCGCGTCGAAAAAGACTTTATAGATTTGGCTAGCTTCAAGGACGGCCTTCAGCGTCACGCCGGCTGCGGTTGCAGTATTGAATGCAACCTTTCCCATGGTGTGGACGTCCACAATATAAGCTGTTGACAGGCTGGGGACGTAGAGCGTGAGGATAGAGATGCTGCCATGGCGGCTTAGTGGGCAGCCTTCGAGATCCACGTAGAGGGTCGGTACATTCTCGATAAAGCCGAGGAGATTGCGGATAGCAGCTGGAGAGTCAACCACTTGGATAGATGGTTTCAAGCATGAGCTCGTAGACATTATTGTTTGTCGCGGAACAGGTCTGGCAGTGTACAGGGGGCCGATACTGGAGTGCTACTGCTGTGGCACGGTGCAAGAAATGAGGGTAGGCCGGTTTACTGTCTTGCCTGTGGAAAGAGGTGGTAGAGAGAAGGGTGAAAACACGACCTATGGTGCGGTTTAGCCGTGCTTCTTTATGCTTCCTCCAATATTCTATACATTACTGCCATTGTCCGTCAATCTCTTCTTTCAACTTGTACGCCATCCATCGAGTTCGCTTCACTCGAGCGTCAGGTCGCTTCAGATCGTTTCATTTCCAGATCCCCGTTTGTTCCGCTGCTCGGGGCAAACGCATTTTCGGTCCGTTAGTCCCGCGTTTGCTTTGGCCCATCCAGGGTCGGATGCAAATGTTCTTTGCATTTGTCGGCGACCAGGCGTCTGTGCCATGTGGCTTCCTCGTGACGTCCTGACAAAAAAAAACGTGCATCACAATAAATCAGGCGTCGCGAGTTGACGCTTGGGCGAGACGAAATCGTTTCTGTAGGGCTCAGCCTAGTTCGCGAAGATGCTGTAGTCCGGTGCAAGACCTCAAGCGTGACACTCTTTCTTCCCTGGGCGTCTTGTGACGTTGTGAGGAACTGCAGCTGCGAAGGGGCGGCGAGTCGGCGACAGGGTCCAATCTAGCCCGCGATATTGACCAGCGAGATCAGGTGCCACGCGTCAGCCCATTGGTATTCGGATGGATTTTTCCCGGCCTTTCGTAGAATCACCACCTTCGCCTTCCGGTAGGGGGCCGGGTAGTGCTCGAGTCGGCAGCTGTGGTTGAGGAGGAGGGCTAAGGCCCGAACCAGAGAGGGGCCGCACGCTTTGAAGAATCCTGCAGGTATCTCGTCGATGCCGGGTGCCTTCCAGCTAGGAAGCTTTATGATGATTTCGTGAATCTCGGTCTGGTTCAAATGGTCCGAAGCCGGGAACGGGGCGGTGTCGAGCCTGTGCGATGTGTCTGCTGGTGTTATCGACATTGTCATTACAATTATATAACTCCTTGATGGGGGTTACCCATTGTCTCTCGTACGTTGGAGGATAGACGGAGAATATCTCCAGTTTGTACACCTCTACCACGCACCAGTCCACTCCCTTCCTTCCGGTCCGCGTCTCAAGTCTGCGTCCCTTGTGAATGTAAATGGCTGTTCGGTCTCCGTACACTGCCAGTTGGGAGCATCCCGAGCTGGAGTGGGGAGGTATCTTCTCTCCGCCGTTATTAACATCTTGAGGTGCGAACGTCGAGCTCGGTGTCGAAGTTCAGCACGATGTCGATCAGTTATTTCCTCTTCCTTGTGTTGCAGTATAGGGTTCGGATCATTGGATGGAGAGTTGAGTGTTACATCGTCGGCTCGGCGGCTGTTCCCGCGGGAGCAAAGGTTTCGACTGAGTACGAGGCGGCTGCGATTACGCGGGGACGCTTCGGGGGAGAGGTCGTCTCCGGCGTTTCTTCTTCCTCCAGAGAAGGGATCATCATTTTCCTGGGAATTGGTGACTTCCCCGGCCGGTTTGGATAGGCCGATCTGGCCCGCGATCCACAGCACGTTGGCTACAGAACAAAGTCTCAATTGTTGTGGCACTTCTCCCGAGCCATTTCGTGAAGCGCTGGGCACTCCAGTCGAGTAGCGGCCGCACTGAGCTGTGTGTGGCGTTGCAGAATGCGGCGATGTGCCCAAATTCGTGGCAGTCATAACACCTCCACGGGAGGATGGCCTCGTTGTACGGCTCTACCTCGAAGATCTCAGCGTATATGACAGATGAGCGGTATAGTCGGTTGGCTGCGTCGAAGCTGTCGACACCGATGATGAGGGTGGCCCGCGTTGCGGTGCCCTTCGGCTTCCGCCCTAGGGCCCGGACGATGCCGGAGCCGTCGAGATTTTTCCTTCCGTCTGTCCCAGAACCAAGACCGGAGAGACATCCGAAAGAAGCTTACAAGTTACAGCCGCGAACGGCTCCGGCGCCGTCCGGGCCACAGGGCGGAAGCCGAAGGGCACCGCAACGCGGGCCACCCTCATCATCGGTGTCGACAGCTTCGACGCAGCCAACCGACTATACCGCTCAGGCGTCATATACAACGCAGATATCTTTGAGTCTGCCACTCCAGCGCTTTGGGCATCGTGCGCTATCGCGAAAGGGAATTTTTGGGTGCTGCGATTCTGTTTCTTGGTCTTATTTCGATTTTGGTCAGTCTCGCGGCGATGTCAAGGCGAGTTTTTTCGTCCAGCGAATGTGTAGAGCTGGATGGAGTCTTGGACAGGCTGCAGCAGTGCAGCCGCTGGCTGCTGGACTCGAACTGGAACGATGACCCACACTAAGGGGATATAAACTAGTATAAATGAGACCCATTCAAGGAGCCCGGTTAGCTTAGTGGCAGAGCGTTGCACTTGTATCATAAAGATCATGCAAAGGTCATTCGTTCGACTCGGATACGGGGCAGTTTCTTTTTTTGGCTTCACTCAGCGCTGCTCCTCCCTCATCTTGATCCGCGCTGAGCTGATGCTTGTTATTATGCAGCTAGAATGCTTTCAATCTTTCTTCTTCTTTTTTTTTTGGTTGCTCATCTCCTTCTCAAGTTGTAGAATACTATATTTGTATACGCAATCTGTCTTGTCAGCCGTGTCACCTCGCGATAATCTGTCTACGACGTTCTCATATTTTTTTCTCTCCAGCATTCTATCTACTAAATCAGAACTTGCGTTTTTCAACAAATTCAATTGTCGTGCACGGTGCGGTCGATGTCGCTTTTCCGTTGTCGATTGCCGGCTACCCTAGCTGTCTGTCTTACGCAAAGATGAGCCTCTGACCTCATCATGACTCACCTACTACTCTACCTATGAGCTCACCAACGCGAGGCGAGGCCTGATATATTTTTCAGAAAGTTGATAATCACGCCATTCAAGATCGCTTATTCGATCCTCAATGAGTCAATCTCATGAAACTCTGCTCACGGGACCAGGCCGAGGCGACACTTGTGACAGCATAGAAAGTGACATGACATGAGTCACATGGTCACAACTTGGCCAAGTATTGATTGTATGCTTAGCTTCTCAGTTCAGTACAGCGCAGATATTTGCAGAGTCAGAGGAAGGACCAGAAAGCCAGAAATAACATACGTAAACGCAAGAAACGATAAATAGGGAGCGTGCTGCATGTATGATGTAAGTCTTAAGATATGCGCAGCGTTGAAGAATGTTGAGCTCCACCGTCATGCATATATATCTCTGCGTGTGAAGCGCCCGCCGCCCGCGGCAAGTCTCATCGCCCCAGCTTCATTGCCACTATTCATCATCAGTGACGCGATAGTTTCACTCTCAGACAACATTTGAGTCCCAGGTATGCTAGCGACCCCAACACCGGAACCATCACAACACCCAGCCTCAACACGGCACTTTGTACGCCGGGAGCCATCCAGCTGCCAACCATCTTCTTAAAGTTTTCCTGCACATTTGCATCGGGAAACGGCTCGTCGGGGATGGGAACCCCCAAAAAGGGGCAAAGTTGCTCCCAGCTCAGGCCGTCTTCTAGTCGGAAGTAGCAGAGACGGTCAGTCGGTAAGATGCGCTTGGCCGTGTTGATGCTGTGGTTGAAGCAAGTTTCAGAGAGAGCATTCCGTCGTGTTCTTACACTCCTCTCTAGAAGCGTTCCTATGAGGCTATGACTAGAGGAAGAGGAAGAGGAAATCAAGATGGAGCGGGCTGTGACTGGGGGGTACATACTAGGAAATATAGTTGCGCCGTATGGCCTCTCTGTTATTCTTTCCTCCTGGGTCAGTGCCGTCGGCAATGGCTCCGTAAACGGTACAGTTCAAGTTGAGATACCAGTACAGGTAGCCGCTAAAGTGTTGCAGTATGTTCATTGGGAATCTATTCGCACTTTGGACGATGCCTCCGACGGTGTTGTTGATTGACGTGACCCATTTGTCGGGGTCGCGATCTGTGAGGATGAACTTGATGTTGGGGTCGTCGGCGTAGGCTTGGAGGATATCTAGGCCCAGAAAGTAGGGGATTTCAACGATGCACTTGGAAATAATGAGTATGTACGCGTGAGCTCAAATAATGAAGTGGGATAGAATTATCAATCAAAGCGAAACTGGCAAAGAGTTCGGAAATTCCAATGGAAGGTCAATTCGAGATACAATGGGTATAATGTATTCGATATAAGAGGCGAGCGACACACTTCAAAGCTTGATTTTAAACATACATCATACTCGGCAAACCACTTGTCAAAATCTGCCTTGGTGTAGCGCTTGATGCCAGCATAGCGATTGTGAGTTGCGCGAACGGCCTCATCGAGGATCTGCATGTGCGGGACACCGCCTTCTGTGCAGCATTCAACCATGTGATATGTCTTGAAACCAAGGCGCTTCAAAGCCTCGTAGACGCTGAGCGTTCCTGTTCTGCCGTTTATCAGGACGCTGTTGCCGTATGTATGACAAGAAAACAGGAGGTGTGGCATACCTGCTGGCCGTGCCAACAATGACCTTGACCGGCGTCCTGACGGCCGGCTCAGGGAGCCTATCAATGTATCGTGACATGACTATTCAAGCTGCGACGACTCACTTTGCGGTTCAAGACTTGGTAGACTTGCCGGCTCTCAGAGGAACCGGGCGACGGGCGTAAGGTGACACACCACAGCTGCACACGACTACATGTAACATACCCGAGAGACTGGAGTCTGGAGGGAGCTTTTATATATGTAATAATAATTGTATGTACCATGGTTTATGACTTATTGACACCCCTGGCCGGCGATCTTACTGTCGATCTCCGTTACGGCGTAAGACCGAAGCGGCGAAGGAGCGAGGGCATCGTGACAGTGTGGTCGCGTGCTGGTTACAGGTTTCAAGTCAGAACAGGTTGCATACAGGGAACATGGGAATTCCGAACGTGTTGAATGCAACGCTTGGTGTCCAACGATGCAACTGTCCGTCCCCACAGCCCACTATCGATCGCGGAAGAGAGCGTGGTGGCTTGACGACGGCGTCGTTGGATATGTAGCTCTAATTAAGCACTTCATGTTAGGAGATATGTAGTCTCATGCATAGATGATATGTAGATCCAAAGAACGCTCTCTTTCTCTACAGAGCAGATCTCGTTGTTGATGCAAGGGGGCCGCGGAATCGATTGCTCTGTCGGAGTCTGCGCAGATGCTAGACTCCAGTCTCCTACCTGTCCTACCTACCTAGGTACCTCCTAGAGGCTGGAGCTTCGGTAAGTGGGTCTCCCGCCCCCGCAGCGGCTTATGGACCATTGATGATTGGACATTGGAAATCCGACAAGATGGAACGGAACTAATAATAAATCTCCAAGACAAACTTGATGCATTTCTCTCCATTTTCACCCTCACACGCACCACGCGGCCGGTTGATCCGTGTGTGTACTCCGAGTAAAACACCGCACAAGTTGCCGCAACTATGCGGTCTTTACCAGCAGGCTCAGCCGCCGTGTTTGCCCTAGGTCTCGTCCCATGGGTCTTCTGTCACGGGGTCCAACGCCCGATGCACCATGACCAGGAGCGGCCTCACGTCCGACTCATTCACCAGGATGTCTCTTCTTTGCCCGCCGAGGATGCCGAGGATGCGGCTCCCTCATACCGTCACGACTTGCTTCACCTTCACAAGGAACTCGTCTCCGTATCCTCCATCTCTGGCTACGAGAACGCTGTTGGCCACTTCCTCGTCGATTATCTCACGGAGCGCGGCTACAGTGTCGAATTGCAGCCCGTCCACGTCGTCGACAGTGCGCCAGCGGCCAAGGAGCGCTTCAACGTACTAGCTTGGAGAGGTGAAAGCAAGCAGGCAGCTTCTCCCAGGGTCGTGGTGTCCAGCCACATGGACGTCGTGCCGCCTCACATTCCCTACGCCATTGACGGCGGGGAAATCACCAAACACTCCATCATCAGAGGCCGGGGATCGGTCGATGCCAAAGGCAGCGTCGCATCCATGATTATTGCTCTCGAACAACTCCACCGCGCTGATAGTATTGAACCCCATGACGTCATGCTGTTGTTCGTTGTTGGTGAGGAGATCACTGGCGACGGCATGCACGCCTTCAGCGACTCCCTCCCCCAGAGAAAACCTCCCCTCCGCTTCGAAGCCGTCATCTTTGGCGAGCCTACTGAGAACAAGCTCGCGTGCGGTCACAAGGGCGGTCTATTTTGTACTATCGTCGCCAAGGGTGTTCCCGGCCATAGCGGATATCCCTGGCTGGGGAAATCCGCCAACGAACTCATGGTCCGCGCCATGGTCAAGATTCTTGACGCAGATCTGGGCAGTTCTGAATTGTTTGGCAATACCACCTTCAATATTGGCCGCTTCGATGGCGGTGTAGCTGAGAATGTCATTCCAGAATCCGCTACGGTCCAATTCGCGGCAAGAGTCGCCATTGGGCCGGAAAGCTCTGGCCACACAATTGTGAGGCAAAAGGTAGAGGCCATTCTGGACGAGGTGGACAACGAGGCGTTCAAATTGACGTGTTCGCATGGGTATGGGTCTGTTGAGGCGACTTGTGATGTTGACGGTGGGTTTGTATATTTCCTTTCTCTCTTTCCGCCTCTCTTCGTATCTTCGCTTTACAGCAAGATGAATTGTGTCTCTTCCTTGACGAAAAGATGATTCCCTATCCCCTTTCTGAAGAGACGTCACGAGCGCTACTGTGGAAGAGAACTGACGATTTGTATCAGGCTTTGAGAAGGTCACAGTCAATTACGGCACAGACATTCCTGGTTTGGCTGGTAACCATACACGATACTTATATGGTCCCGGCAATATTTTGGTGGCCCACGGCGCAAGAGAAAACCTGACAGTCGCAGATTTGGAGGACGCTGTCGAGGGATATAAGAAGTTGATCTTGCATGCGCTGAATCAGCAAGTAGCGCGTTGACCGTCGTGCATAACTCCTATGCAGGCTCACTATATATCATGCTGCTTCGAATGCTACCATACGCCGTGCATTCTTGCGTGTCAAAATACTGGAAGTAAGAAACAGAAAGGCAAGAGCAAAAATATTGCCATCATCGCGAGAGGGCTCATCGGCCAACAACCTGGGCCCATCGCTCGGGCATTATCTTGCTAAAGTCAAATTTCCCATCTATGCCCTTCTCCACCGCGCCCTTTTCCGTCACAACAACATCAATCAGTTCGGCAGGCGTGACGTCGAACGCCGGATTCCACACATTAATTCTCTGATCCGCCGTCGCGATGCGAACTTTGGAGCTCTCGTCGACACTGCCGTCAGCTTTGACGACAGCGCCAGTGATTTGCGTCAACTCAAGCCCCAATCTTTCCTCAATCTTGATACCATCACCCGTCTCCGTCTCCAAATCAATGCTGGTGGTCGGTGCCGCCACCATAAATTTGATGCCGTGGTGCTTGGCCAGCACCGCAAGCTGATAGGTGCCGATCTTGTTGGCCGTATCGCCGTTACGAACCACTCGGT